CCCCAAGACGGCCCAAGAAGGCCTCAGGACGGCCCATGAAGGCGCCAAAACGGCCCACGAGGGCCCCGAAAACACCCCCACGATGTCTCCGAATGCCAACATTCATTGATTTTGCTTCCGTGACATGTCACACTGTAACCCAGTCGTTGAGGGTCTCGTGGCATGCAGCGAAGATGCCCGAGGATGCCCCGTACGAGTTGCATATGCATGTTCATACCCTTACACACATAAATGTATATGTACACATGTACGCTGTATACACATACAACAATGTAAGTATATTGTATACACCTGGATATTTATACGGAACGTGCATGCATGTGCGCGTGTATACATGCATGCGCGCATGTACGCACGCACGCATTCCGCTTGCGTGCAGAACTCAAAGGACCAAGGTGCATGGCGCGCAGCGCCAATGTAGTCTTGTATATATATATATACACACATATATGTGTGTGGGGTTCCTCGGTGGCGTAGATTGTTGTTGATTATTCGCTGCTAAAAAATATTGCTGATCTCCGGAAATGGTTCCGCGCGCTCTCGCCTCGACGTTGGCTACATCTTCTCTGGAAACGAGGCTCCCGCTCGAGCGTTGGCTTGAGCCGAAATGTGGGTCCTTGGAGGCCCAGCTACGACGACAACGGCTCCCGATCGATAATTCATAACAATTTACCCCGAGACACCCAGGCCAGAGAGGCCTCCGAACTCAGGAGCGGCGCTCTCGCTCAAACCTTCCTCGCAATTCAGTCAAGTTGGCGGAGGCCCGGCCAGGACGAGCTCGATATGTCATCGCGATTTTCTCCGAGAGCCCCTGGCCAAGAAGGCCCCCGAACTCAGGAACGGCGCTCTCGCTCGACATTTTTTCGTAATTCAGGCAAGTTGGTGGAGGCCCAGACACGTCGACAAGGGCTCCTGTTTGATATTTCTCCATAGGTATTCCGAGAGCCCCTGGCCAGAGAGGCCCCCGAACTCAGGAACGGCGCTGTCGCTCGCGACTTCCTCGCACTTCAGTCAGTGACCGGTGGGGAAGAGATTCCCCCCCGAAACGGAGTGCACTCGAAGACGGAGTGGGCGGGTATCGAGGTTTGGGGTATACGGAATGCAAAACACGCGTGCCAGTAAGAGCGAACAGTCTCAAAATGGTTGAACTTTAACTACCAAACAGTTATTATTGCTGGACCCCCCCCGGCGCCCTGGCGCTCTCGCCCCGGCGCCGGCTACATTGTCATTGAAAATGAGGCTCACGCTCCAGCGGTTTGGGGGGGCGCCAAAACCGCCCCCCAACAACAACAACGTTCCCGCTCGAGTTTTCCTCCTTTTTTACTCAGGGATAGTGCTCCTGCTCGCCGCTGAAAGCCGCCGTCCCAACAAACCCAGCGCTACCGCTCGAGACTTCCTCCCGTTTTACCTTGGACTGGCGCGCTACTCTTTCTCTCATCGGCGCCGCCCCCAGCAACAACAACGCTCCCGCTCGAGACTTCCGCCCTTTTCTACTCAAGGCGGTGCTCCTCCTCGCCGCCGAAAACCGCCGCCCCGACAAAACCAGCGCTCCCGCCAGAGACTTGCACCCGTTTTACCCTGGACTGGCGCCTTGCTCTCTTTTGAGTTGGCGCCGCTTGCCAGCAAGAACAACGCTCCCGCTCCAGGCTTCCTCCCTTCTTCCTCAGGACGGTGCTGTTCCTCGCCGCCGACAGCCCCCGCCCCGACAAAACCACGGCTCCCGCTCGAGACCTCCTCTTTTGTTTACTCAGGGCCGGCGCTCCTGCGCGCCGCTGAAAGCCGCCGTCCCAACAAAGCCAGCGTTCCCGCTCGAAGCTTCGCTGTGTTTTACGCTGGGCTAGCGCCCTGCTCTCTTCAGCACTGGAGCCTTTCCCAGCAACAACCGCGGCCCTGCTCGAGACTTCCTCCCTTTCTATTAAGGGCCAGGTCCTGACCTCGCCGCCGACAGCCCCCATCCCCACCACGGCAATCCTGTCGCTCGATACTTTTTTGTGTTTTGCCCTCGGCTGGGGCTCCACTGGCGGTCTCGCACTGGCGCAGCATGGCGCGGGCATGCGTTTTCGAGGCGGGATATGTTGAAATTCCTCGGAGGAGGTGTTTTCAAGACTGCATTGGGCAGGAGATCTGGGAATGGGAATAACGGACCCCGCTATAGAACAATAATTCCCCATGATGGGAATGGTTATCATGATGGTCGCATGCTTCGTGTGGACACAGCGCTCATGAGGGTAACATGTTATTGTTGTTGGTGGTGGTGGTGTTGTTGCTGTTGTTGTTGTTGCTGCTGTTTTCGGCGATCTTTATGTTTTCGGCGCCCTTTTCGTCGTCCATTTGGTTTTCGGCGCCCCTGTGGTTTTTGGCGTTCATTTGGTTTTTGGCGCTCCTTTGGTTTTCGGCGCCCTTGTGGGTTTCGTCGCCGTGTCTTGGCTTTGCCAGTCTTACGTTGGTTTTCGTCGTTTTTTGTTGGGGTGGGTTGGGGGCTCGGCGCTCTTTGGGGTTTCGGCGCTTCGTTGGTTTTCTGCGCCCTGTTGGTTGTCGGCGCATGTGTGGGGCTCGGCATCCTTCTGGTTTTTGGCGCTGCTTTGGTTTTCGGCGCTCTTCTGGTATTCGGCGCCGTTTTGGTGCTCGGTGCCCCTTTCGTTTTCGGCGCCCTTCGGGGGTTCGGCGCCATTTTGGTTCTCGGCGCTTCTTTTGTGTTTGGCGCTCATTTGGTTTTCGCCGCTCTTTTCGTTTTCGCCGCCCCTTTGGTATTTCGCGCGCCCTCTGAGTGTGGCGACCTGTTGGTTTGCGGCGCTCTTTTGGTTTCGGGCGTCCCTTTGCACTTCTGCGCTCTCCTGATTTTCGGCGCCCCTTTGGTGCTCGGCGCCCGTTTGGTTTTCGGCTTCTTTCTGGTGGCGCCCCTTTGATTTTTGGTGCTCTTTTTTGGTTTTCGGCGCATCTTTGGTTTTCGGTGCTGTTCTCGTTTTCGGCGCCTTTTAGGAGGGGGCGGGGGGGCAGCGTCCGAGGGGCGGACAAAAAAGAAGGGGCGGGGCTTCCGGTAAGGGAGGTCCAAGGGGGGGGGTGTAGCTAAGCCCCCGAAGCTCTATTCTTCGATTCGGAGCCTCCAGGCGTTTGATTAGGAGCCTGCCAAATCCTCCTTCTCCTCCTCACTTTCCTCCTCCTCCTCCTCACCATCACCATCACCATCACCATCACCATCACCATCACCACCATCATCATCATCATCATCATCGTCGTCGTCGTCGTCGTCCTCCTCCTCCTCCTCCTCCTCCTCCTCATCATCATCATCATCATCATCATCATCATCATCATCATCATCATCATCATCATCATCATCATCATCATCATCATCATCATCATCTTCTCCCCTCATTCGCCGCCTCCCCCCATCCTCCTGCAACTCCTCGTTTTCTCCCTCCTCCTTCTCCCCCTTTCTCCTACTCCGCCTGCTCCACCTCCTCCCACCACTCCCCCACACCCTCGATGCGTCAATTGCACGTTGGCTCAGCTATTAAGATAAGTAGTTGCTCAACTACTCATTTAAGAAATGGATAGTTGAGCAGCTACTTATTTTAATAAGTGATTGCACCAACGTGCAAGTGACGCGTCGTGTGGGGGAGTAGGGGGGGGGAAAGGGGAGGAGGAGGAGGAGGAGGAGAAGGAGGAGGAGGAGGAGGAGAAGGAGGAGGAGGAGGAGGAAGAGGAGGAGGAGGAGGAGAAGGAGGAGGAGGAGGAGCAGGAGGAGGAGGAGGAGCAGCAGGAGGAGGAGGAGAGGGATTATGGAGGCGGAGGAGGAGGAAGGGGGAAAAGGAGGAGGGAGAATACATGGAGTGGCAGGAGGATAGGAGAGGGCGGCGGATGAGGGGAGAAGAGGAGGAGGAGAGGAGGAGGAGGAGGAGGAGGAGGAGGAGGAGGAGCAGGAGCAGGAACAGGAGGAGGAGGAGGAGGAAAGGGAGGAGGAGGAGTATTTGGCAGGCTCCTAATCAAACGCCTGGAGGCTCCCAATCAAATAATAGAGCTTCCCCCCCTTTGGAAGGGGGGGGGGTAGCTTCCGGTGCGCGACAGGGAGGAGGGGGGGGGAGGGGGGGGGCCTTCCGAGGGGCGGAAAATGGAGGGGGGGGACTTCGGCAGGGGAGGTCCAAGGGGAGGTGGAGGTAGCTAAGGCCCCCCCTTCTGGAAAGGGGCCTCTGGAGCGCGAAAGGGGGGGGGCACCTTGTGGGAGTGCGCGACCTGCGCGCTCTCTCGAATAGTCTGCACCACCTCGCTTTCACGTTGCTAGCACCTCAAAGCTTGCACCACGTATCTTGCACCGTCTTTTTCACGGCTTGCACCACATAGCTTACACATCCACCGTGCAATTGCGTATCGCTCGGGGCTTGTGTTGGCCAGTATGATGTGCCTTCGCTGCTGGAGTCCCAGCGTGTCTCAGAGCCTCTGTGATGCCTCCGAAGAGCAGCCTCTCGGGACATCCGTGGTGGCAGTCCTACATCCTCCTCCCGCCGACCCCGTATGTGGCAGCCTCTCGAAGTCCATCGAGGCTCCCTGGAGGCCCCATTGAGGTCCCAAAGCTCTTAGGAAACCTGCGGGGGGGGCTGCAGCTCCCCGGCGTTTCCCGCCTCGCAGGAGCCGTCCAGCCCACCCATCAGCCGGGAGTCGCAAAGGGCCTGCCTTGAGACCCCCCGTGTGGCCTCCGGCGGAGTGCGGTTTCTTTCGTGCGCAGCCCAGTCGTGGCGACCAGGGCCACCCTCCCCCCAACGAGCGCCGTTCCATGGAGGGTTTCCACCTCGCGAGGCGCCCATTCGCCGCCACAGCCACGGCTGGGCCTGGCTCGAGGAGCATGTCGCATGTCGCCTGGGGCCTCGGGTCTGGGGCAGGCATCGGTGAGGACAGCGGCTCCTTCCTTGGCAGCGCGCGCGGACAGGTAGGAGCCCGCAGCCTGGCGCAAGCCGTGCCTGTGTGCCCGCCCTGGGGTTGATGTCGGGGGCGCAGGCGTGGCCGCCATGAGCGGCGCCTGGGGCGACCCAGGCGGCTTCCCAGGCGGCAGCTACGGCGGGCCTCCAGGTGGGCCCAGCGGAGGCTACCAGGCAGGCCCGCAGCAGGGCTTCCAGCAGCAGGGCCTCCCGCAGCAACAGGGGCTTCCGCAGCCGGGCTTCCCGCAGCAGGGCTTGCCACAGCCCGGCTTCCCGCAGCAGGGCCGCCAGCCGGGAAGCGGGCCCTCAGGCCAGGCGTTCGCAGCCGGGCCCGGCCAGGCGTTCGCAGCCGGGCCAGGCCAGGCCTTCCCGCAGGGAGGACACAGTGGTGGCTTCCAGCAGGGGATGGAGGCGGGCTACTTGCCCGCCGGAGCCGCGTCGGTTGGGCCAGGCCAGCCCGGCGTCTCTGCCAGCTACCCGCCGCCGGGCGGCGGCGGCGGCTTCCCGTTCGGAGGTGGCGCCCCCCACACGGACCAAGCAGCGCTCGAAGAGATCATGCGGGCGCTCGCCCAGGACCAGCGCGCCCTGGAGGAGCTCGAGCGGCTGCGGGGAGGGGGCAGCAATGCAAAGACACCGGTGCCACCCCCTTTCTTGGACCCCTCGCGGGAAGCGTTGGGGCCAGAAGCCTTGTGGAGGGGACCCCATGAGGGCCCCCCAGGATGCCCAGAAGGGTGAAGACTCGGAGTTTGATTCAACCCCCATGCTGCCAAGTCGATTAGCGACTTGCCCTCTCTCCACTCTCGAGGAGGCTGAGGGCGTCATTTTCAAGGGCTTGGTCCTGGGCCCTTCGCAAGGGCCATTTTCTGCGGCGTCTCGGCCCCTTTTTCGGACAGGCGTTCCACCCCGAGCTGTTTTTTGACAGGCCTAGGTGGCCCAGCGTAGGCCCCCAGAGGCAGAAAGGTATGAGAAGTCTCCCGTCACGGCCTCTTCATCGCGAAACGAATGCTACATCGCAAACAAACCCGACCACAGCCCTGGACCCCATTGTCCTGCGACACGTTTCGAGCCAGATCGATCCGTGAGGGCCTTGGGGCCCGAAGCATGGCAACATCGGCAGTCTTGAAAAATGATGACTTCAGGATCTTAGGGAGGGTCGTTCCTTTCCACACCCGAAAGATGAGGGAGGCGCATCAGCATCGGGATGTCCCTCTCCCTCCCTCAGGGACCACGACAGGGGAGATAGGCTCGGGGGGGGACCTCATCGACACCCAAACGCCCATTCATCGCCGATACGGGCCTGATACCACCCCGCCCAGGAACGTGCACCACTCCGCCCAGGAACGTGCGGGGGCCCATCGGGGGCCCATCGCCGATCTATCGGCGATGTATTGCCGATTTCAGGTCGATGCCCCCCCGCCCCTGAGCCAATCACCTGATGGCTTTCGGGTCATAACTTTGCCCTCCAGCGGCCGTTCCAGACTATCCAGGACTCCCCCGGGGACGCTCTTGGTGAGTCGCATTCGCTGGAGAGCAACCCGAGGCTGGAAAACCGTCGAGAATCGACGAAATCGCCAGAAAACCTCGAACCTCGGACGTTCCCCCCCCGCGCCAAGCTGCTTCGTCGATCTCCGAACCTCGAACACTCCTCCTCCCTTCCTTCCCCCTCGAACCTCGAACGCCCCACCCCACCCTCGAACCTCGAACGAACCTCGAGCGATCCCCGCTCCCCAGACCCCCGACGTCATCATCGTTTCATGACGTCGACGCTCAAACATCTGGAGCCATTTCCCTGGACCGGCTTTTCATCCCGAGTCGCCGGTTGACGGTCCCGAGGCCCGCCCGGCCAGGGTCTCTCTCGGAGGCGGAGCATCGCGAATGGTTGTCCGTGGCGACCCGTTCTGCCTCTCGCGAGGGGGTCCGAGAGCTCCCAGGCTGTGCTCCCAGCTGCCCCAGCAGACGCTGCCCGCGCGCCTCGCCCACGGGCTGCGGCGGCGCCTGCAAGAGGAGCGGGAGCTCCACGAGCGGGACAGGAAGGACGTGGACCGGCTGGCGGAGCAGGTGCGCGAGGAGAGGCGGCGGGCCGAGGCACAGGAGCCGGCCTGGAGGGAGAGGTGCGTGGGCACCCCGCAGTTGCGGGCAAGAGGAGGAGGAGGAGGAGGAGGAGGAGGAGGAGGAGGAGGAGGAGGAGGAGGAGGAGGAGGAGGAGGAAGCGAGGAGGAAGAGGAGGAGGAGGAGGAGGAGGAGGAGGAGGAGGAGGAGGAGGATCGCGGGTGGGCCGCGGGCGGGTCGCAGGTGGGCCGCGGGCGGGTCGCGGGGCGGGTCGCGGGGTGGGTCGCGGGCGGGTCGCGGGCAATTGCGCAATTCGCAACCCCGCAGGGAGCCGGGTTGTCTCGGTTGGATCCGCGTACGTACAAGTCCATTCTGCGGGACTTGCCAGGAGCGCACGACAGAGGCGACCACTGCGCAGTTCGCAGGCCCCCCCTGGGAGCCGCGAGGTTTCGGCTGGATCCGCGCACAGCGGTACATGTTTTGTTCGGCGCAGAAGGATCGAGGGCGGCCAAGAGCGGTGTGGCGACTTTCTGTGTGTGTGTGTGTGTTTGTGTGTGTGTGTTTGTGTGTTTTTTGTTGTGTGTGTGCGTGTGTGTGTGTGTGCGTTTGTGTGTGTGTGTGTGTGTCTGTGTGTGCGCGCGTGCGTGCAAGCGTGCGTGCGTGCGTGCGTGCGTGCGTGCGTGTGTGTGGATATCATGGCATGTGTCATGAGATCTCCTTGTTGGCATGGCCTCGTCTTCGTATTTCAATGCGTGCTCTGGCTCCCCCTCGCCCGCGCACGTGCCACGGGCCATGATTTGCGATCCCACCTTGTGGACGCCCCCCTCTTTCAGGAGGGAAGAAACACACAGACACAATGAATCGTCGATCCCCCAGAAAATATAGGAAAATATGGAGAGTGGTGGCGAAGACAAAAACCCAGGAAATATAGGAAAATATGGGGAATATTTTATTTGTGTATTTATTTGTGTGTCCCAGGGCCCCTTCACTCTTGGACGCCCCCGGAATGAGGAAAGCTGAGGGGAATGAGGCGCGACGAACCTCTGCATTCCCGAAGCCAAACAACCTTCGGTGGGGAAAGAGCACCTGCTGCTCGTCCTGGAGAGCTCTCGTCTCCACGGCTGGGTTCTTCTGAAGTTGTGGTCCGAATGCGCCCTGGGCGCACTGCACTGGGCTCCGCGCCCGTTCCAGAGCGCTCCGGGGCGCTCTGCTGGACAGTCCCGATCGCTCTGCCCCGAGATCCGACGCCACGACAAGATTGCAACATGGCGGAACATCTCGACCCTAGCCCTGGAACCAATCTTTCTGCGGCGTTTCTCGAGTTGGACCGATCCAGCCAGATCACGCGACCAGAAATTGTGGGTAACGGATCTCGGTCGCACGAAATTTCGGTCGCGACCAGAGGGAGTCGAATGTTGGGTAGCAAAGAGACGGCGCGTGAGGGTCCGTACGCGAGGGCTTTGAAAACATCGACGGCTCGCTCGTCATCGGAGTTCTCGAGCGGAAGCCGAATTTCGGTCGCAACCGGTTCGTCCAGAGCATTGACCGGAAATTTTCGGTAGCGAATGGTTTGGCATTGAAGTCGAAGAAGAGGAGAACATACATAGTAATAACGTTCGGAGATCCGAATGGATTTCTTGGATCGGCGCTGTGGCCCCCCCTGGCGGCGCCTGCAGCGCCGCCCCTGGCCCGCGGATTCGAAATGCGGGCAAGATGCAAATGTCGCCGCGCCGTTTGTTTTGCCGCGCGGCCTCACGTCTTGGGGAGGGCGCCGTGGCCACCAGGGCAAACGCAGCCTCGAGAGCGGTGGGCTTGCCGTGGGGTTTGCCGCGGTGGTGGTCTCGTCTACTTGGGCCGCGGGGCGCAGTGTTTGCCATGGGTTTGCCGTGGTGTCGGCGTCGTCCACTCGGGGGCGTCGAGAACAAACGGCTCGCGGACATATCCATATCCTGTGCATCCAGACACCCGAGGCGCAGTGGATATGGACTTACACCTGGCCCCTGGAGGCTTGATGCTCATCCCTATTTAGCCTATCCACTGCGCCTCGGCCTCTGTTTCTCTTCCTCTGCAGGAGGAGGCCGCGCGTGCGCCGCAGGGGCCGCAGGTGCCGGCGGGCCGGGAGGCCGAGCTGGAGCGCCAGGCGAGGCGCCTGGCCCACGAGGCGGGCCGGAGAGGCCAAACGTTCAGGGCGGCGCGCTGCGCCCCCAGAGTCCGAGCACAGTATATGACTACCACCACCAAGATCGAGAATAATATACGATGCGATTTGGTGCAGAGGCCTCGCACAGAGGGAGCGGGTCGAAGGGAAGGGGTTGCCCTCTCGGCTCGATGGATCACGGCGTGGCTCGATGGCCTTCCGGCGGGAACGCTCGAGCGGGCGCGGCGACGACGGCTCGAGCAGAGGAGCTTCTCGCACGCGCCGACAGGGTCAACGGATATCTGGGGCCAGCGTGGTGCTCTCCAGCAGCTGGCCTTCGTCGCCCAGGCCCCTCTCGGGTCATCAGGTTACTCCGACGGGCGGGCCCACAGGAGAATCTGTTTCGCTTGCCCTTAGCCCTGTCCTCATCGCCTGGCGGGCATTCTCCTCTCGCCCTCTGATCTGCCTGCTTCTCTTCCTCCCTTTTTTCTCTTCCTCCTCCTTCTCATCCTCCTCCTTCCCCACCTCATCCTCATCATCACCCTCCCCCGACCTTCCCCCTCCTCATCCTCCTGCTGCCTCTTCTCCATGTGCACAGCCCCTTCTCCCTAGTCGGGGCAAGCACGTCGATGTTTGTCAGCGCGGTCGCCGCCTCGGCCATCACGCACGCGTTCGCCGACGGCTAGATCGCGAAGCCTTTGGGACAATCCCGCGAGCCATGTCTTTGGGACACTCGCGCGGGCCGCTGGGGCGCGGGGGCAGGCCGTCGGGACAACCCCGCGGGCCAGGCGGTTGGGACAACCCCGCGGGCCTCGAGGTGGGCGCGGCCCGCTTCCAGGCCCAACAGCGATGACAGTCACAAGGTTTGGATGACCCGGTCTGATTACCAACATGGGGCGCGGGTTCTACAAGGAGGGGGCGGCCGCTTGAGATTTCTTGGCGATTCGCTCACAAGCGAGGTTCCCGCCTGAGGCTTCTTCGAAATCCAGGCGCGAGTGGCCCAAAAGTGACGACAGCTACAGATCTCGGATGGCACGCTCCGAGTGCCAACATGAATCGCGGGCTCCTTAGGGGAGGGAGTTCCCGTGTAAGGCATCCAAAATTCAGGCGTGAGGGGCCCGAAAGTGACGACGACAATCACAGGGTTCGGATGACCCGCTCCGATAACCAACATGAGTTGCGGGCTCCATGGGGAGAGGGTTCCCACCTGAGACTTCCTCGCAACTCACTCACAAACGAGGCTCTAGCCTGAGGCTTCCTTAACAGTCACGCGCGAGGGGCCCAACAGCGACGACAGTTACAGGGTTCGGACGACCCAGTGCGATTACTAACGTGATGTGCGAGCTCCATAAGGAGGGGGTACGCGACTGAGACTTCTTCGCGTTTCGCTCATAAGGTTGCTCGAGGATTCTTAAAAATTCAGGCGTGAGGGGCCCAATAGTGACGACAGCGACAGGGGTCGGATGACCCGCTCTGGCTGCCGACATGGAGTGCGGGTTCGATTGGGAGGAGGCTCCCGCCTGAGAAGTCTCCGCAATTCGTTCACAAACGAGTTTCCCGCTCAAGGCTTCTTCAAAAGAAGCGCGAGGGGCCCAAAAGTGACGCCAGCTATCGGTTGACCGTTCCGGTGCCAACATGAAGTGCGGGCGCGGGCTCCAAATGGAGGGGGCTCCAGTTTGAGACGTCTTCTCAATTCACTTACAACGGAGGCTCCCGCTTGCGGTTTCGTCAAAAGCCAAGCGCGAGGGGTCCAATAAGTGAAGACAGTTACAGGGTTCGGATGACCCGTTCCGATGACCAACGTGAAATGAAGGCTCCAGAGGGAGGGGTTTCCCACCTGAGACGTCCTCGCAAGGCACTCACAAACGAGGTTCCCGCCTGAGTTTCCTCAAACTGAATGTATGAGCGTGTGACTGCGCGAGTGCGTGAGTGGGTGAGTGTGAACGAGTGTGGGAGCGATGTCGATGATGATGGTGAGGGTGATGAGTGGGTGAGTGAGTGAGTGAGGGATTGAGGGGTGATGAAGATGCTGCTGATGATGATGGACATGAATGCGTGAGTGTGTGGGTGACGAAGAGAGAGGGTGGACATGAATGCGTGAGTGTGTGGGTGACGAAGAGAGAGGATGATAATGATGATGATGATGATGATGATGATGATGATGACGATGATGATGATGATGATGATGATGATGATGATGATGATGATGATGATGATGATGATGATGATGGTGATGAGGAGGCTTCTTATTATTCTTAGTACGAGGATGGTGATGAGGATGTGGATGTGGGTGCGTTCCTGCGCCAGGTGTCCAGAGAAAACAAGAGCTCCACTCAGGATATGGGCAAAACATGACAGCCGGTTGTTTGTTATTTTCGGCCTGCCCTTACGGTGCCCCGGGACGGTCAACAAAAATCCCCAGGCTGGACAGCCGGTCCAGGGGAAGGGGTCGAGACCACCAGGGGTCGACGTTGCGACAAAATCGTGGTGCTGCGGGTCTGGGCGGGAGGCGCCTGTGAGTGCCCGGATCGCCCCGGGCCGAAGGAAGTCCGAGTTTTGGCCGAAGACCACGCCCGGCCAGGGTCGCCGACGGGGGGCATAGGCTCAGGGGGGGGGGTCGAATTGACCCCCACCAGCCCATGCATCGCCGACAGGGGCCCGATAGCCCGCCCCGCCCAGGAAGGTGCGGGATCGCCATCGGGGGCAGACCGCCGATCTATTGCCGATTCCAGCCCGATGTGTCACCCGCTGTGGCAAGAGTTTCTTTGGTGCGCCTTGGCGAAGATACCTCCCCTGTCCCTCTGCACATGCCTCTGGAGGCATGCTGCTTGCGATGTTCGGCGGAGTAGTTTCGATCCCGGAGATTATTGCAGTGATGTTATCCCAACCTCGGGTCCAAAAGTATTCCTCGCCAAATCCAGGCAATAGCTGAACGGAATGCGTGTCATCGCGCAGCGCAGTAATAGGAGCAGCTTCTCTTCCGACCATTTCCGCGCGGTTGCGCCAGTGGCGAACGACGAGTGAAAGAAGCTTTCGCCGCGGTGGTGTAGATCCTCGGAGGTCCGCGTCGGTCTTTCCTGGACCGGCGCTGCATCACCCCCGGAGGCGTGTCCAGCGCCGCGCGCCCCGCGCGCCAGGGAGGGGGAGGAGCAGGGAGGAGGAGGAGGAGGAGGAGAAGGAGGAGGAGGAGGAGGAGGAGGAGAACGCGGACGAGGAGGGCCAGGGCGAGGAGGAGGCGCCCTCGTTTCCGATGTAGAGTGCCGAGCTGGCCGCCCGCCCAGGCAGCCGCGCAAGGTCGCTACGCCATCGCTCTTCTTTCCGTCGCTCAGCTAAGATCCCCGCCGGTGCTGCAAAGGGGATCGAGGAAGGTTAGGAGTGGATGCTGAGGTCCGTTGTATCTGGCCTAACCTACCTTTCTCAGTAGGCTACACATGCCACAAAGGGCCCAGGGGGGATAGACAACCCCGCGAAGTGGGGAGAGCCCACTTGGCCCATCACGTTCAACCCCCTAAACCACTCAGAGCACCTGCGACCCACTCATAAGCCTAGGGTATGCCAGATCTAACCCACCGTTGCCCCTTGTGTTTCTGATGACGGCTCGCCTCTCCGACGGCCGTCCGGGACGATCTGGGCACCCCCGGGTGCTTCTCGGCGAGGCGCAGCAGCTGGAGCTCACCCCCGAGGCGGGAAAACCGCCGAGGACCGACTCAGACGTCAGCGAATCTCCTCCGCCTTAGCAACCGCCGCGGTCATCCCAGTAAGGCCAGTTCCTCCTCGTCGCTCAAGTCCCAGCTAGACCCCCGACGTTCTGATTTTTTCATGATGTCGGCCCCCAGAGGTCACGGCCCACTTTCCGTCCCGAGGCCCGGTGAGGAGCCGCAGAGGCTGAAAACAGCGAACGATCTTCCATCGTGCTCTTTTTTCATGACGCGAGGGGGTCTGGGGAGTCGGCGCGGAGAGATCTCTTCTCGCCAGGTGGAGGTGCGCGAGGAGGAGATCCGGCACAAGGACGAGGAGCTCCATGCCCTGCGGGCGGAGGTGCGGGCGCTGCAGGAGACCATGGGGGCAGCGAGGGGCAGGGTTACCAGCCTGGAAGATATCCCTATCCCTATGCTGGGCACCTCCTCATCACGATGCCAATCTGAGGGATTCCCTTGTTTTTTGAGGGCGAATCCCTAAGATGTTCATCGCCTTTTGGCGTGTCAATCGTAGGGAGAGGGCTACGTTCGAGGCTGGTAAGCAGGGGGCGCGGGGCGCGGCCCGGCACGGGGGCGGCGAGGCGTCGGCCCCCGAGAGGAGGCGCCCCCGCAGTCGAGGAAGAGCTCGTGGCGTTTTTACCTTTCGATTTCTGGATGTCGGCGCTGAGAGTGTGTGGAGGAGGAGGAGGAGGAGGAGGAGGAGGAGGAGGAGGAGGAGGAGGAGGAGGAGAAGGAGGAGGAGGAGGAGGAGGAGGAGGAGGAGGAGGAGGAGGAGGCGGAGGAGGCGGAGGAGGAGGAGGAGGCGCCCCAGCAGTCGAGGAAGAGCTCGTGGCGTTTACCCTTCGATTCTGGATGGCGGCGCTGATTTCTCGGATCGGCGCTGGACCCCCTTTCCCTACGACCCTCGTCAAAATTGACCTCAAAAAGGTCTGACGTGGTTGAGCTGCTTGTCGGAAGATCTGGGGCCGAGTATCGATGAGTGCGGGGTACTTGCATGCGCCGCCCCTCCAATGTCGGTCGACGTCAAACTTTCGAGTCAACTTCGGTCAGACTATCTTTGCCCTCGCCCCGACATTGAAGGGGCGGCGTGTCGGCATTGAGGGGCGCGCATACATCGAAATGACGTGCCAGCAACTGTTGAGGTTAATTTTGACGAGGGTAGTAGTGCGCGAAGCTCCGATCCGAGAAATCCGCCCAAGCTGCCGACAGTTCATGCTTCTGTTGTTCCCTCCTCCCCGAAGCAGGGGCCTCTCCTTCGAGGATCGAGGGAGCTGTCATCTCTTCCCCCGGCGGAGGGCGGCGGACGGGCCGCGGAGGTCGGCGGAAGTAAAAGATGCGCTCCGAAGAGCTGGCAGCATTTTTGGGTTCAGAGTTTCTGAACCCGCCATAGGGGAACAAGAAGTGGCATGAACATGAAAACTCGGAGGTCCGCGCGGATTTCTCGGATCGGCGCTGGGGCCCCCCGGCGGCGCCTCTGGCGCCGCCCCTTGGCGCGCTCCGCGCGCCAGGGAGGGGGGTCCAGCGCCGATCCGAGAAATCCGCGCGGACCTCCGAGCTGTTATGCTTATGCCACTTTTTGTTCCCCTGCGCCGGATCGTCTCATTCATCGCCGATCGAGGCTCGTGGTGTCTTCCCCCGCTCGCCATGAGGGGAGGCGGGTCCTGCACAGAGCAGGTCTTGGTGGGCCGCGCGGGGCCCCCTGCGGGCCCTATAGGAGTGTCCAGACCAGAGACAAGCCGGGATGACGAGCTGGCCTGTCAGTCCATTCGCGAAGGGACGTGGTAATGGTTATTGTAAGCTTACAGCGGTCAGGAACCACTTTTCGGTTGAGCAGTGGGGTTCGGGGCCTTTCGCCGATCTATCGGCGATGCATAGTCGACTCCAGAAGTCACTGCTCCCCCTCACTCAAACATCCGACGTCATGGCTTGGTTTCAGCAACGTGGCTCCCCAGAGGTCTGGACCCCTTTCCCTGGGGTCCAGCTTCTCATCCTGATTCGTGTTGTGGTCCTGGGGCCCGGTAAGGTTCCCCAAATGCCGAAAACGGAAAAGGTTCCCCATCGTGTTCTTGCACGACGCGAGGATGTCAGGGCACTCTCGGGTGCAACCTCTGGGCGGTTAAAGTTCGCATCGGCGCTGGCATAGTCATGGCCGACAACCGGAGTAATCCGTAAGGGTTTCGCCCTATGCCGCCGGCCCCCTTCCTCGGATAATGGGAGATGCAAAAGTTACATCATGAGGTCTGGGCGCCGCCGTGAAGCAGTGTCGGGACCTGTTTGTTTTTCGACCCTGACCTTACGGATCTGCGTCACGGGTGCCACCGGTTTTCGAAATGTAGCAAATCCATCCTCTTTTTGGACCATGACCCTACGGATTTGCGTGAGGGGTGCCACCGAATTTCAGACATGTGGCAAATCCCGTGTGTTTTTGGACCCTGACCATGCCGATCTGCGTGAGGAGCGCCGCCGGATTTCAGGAATGTAGCAAATCCGATGTGTTTTTGCACCTTGACCCTGCCGATCTGCGTGAGGGGTGCCAGCAAATGTCAGAAATGTGGCAAATCCCATTTGTTTTTGGACCCTGACCCCGCCGATCTGCGTGAGGGGTGCCAGCGAATTTTAGAAATGTGACACATCCTCAATGTTTTTGCATCCTGACCCCGCCGATTTGCGTGAGGGGTGGCAGCAAATTTCAGAAATGTGGCAAATCCCATGTGTTTTTGCATCCTGACCCCGCCGATTTGCGTGAGGGGTGGCAGCAAATTGCAGAAATGTGGCAAATCCCATTTGTTTTTGGACCCCGCCGATCTGCGTGAGGTGTGCCAGCGAATTTAAAACATGTGGCAAATCCGATGTGTTTTTGCATCCTGACCCCGCCGATCTGCGTGAGGGGTGGCAGCAAATTTCAGAAATGTGGCAAATCCCATATGGTTTTTGGACAGTGACCCCGCCGATCTGCGTGAGGGGTGTGAATTTTTACCCACCCTAGCAACTCAGAGCATACCCTCAGGGCGTGGTAAAAATGCCCGTTTTGGGCCCCCCCCCTCGCGCGGTCCATCAACAAGGAACCGTAAGCAGCAAGAAGTCAACAAGGAACAGTAAGCAGCAAGAAGCAGAACTGTAACAGTGGAAACTGGAAGCTGCAACTGGCACAGGAAACTACGAACCTTAGGCCTACAGCCTGGTGGGTCCACAAGGGGGCCGGCGGATTCTTTTCAATTCCGTGCATCCCGTGTTAATTCGGCACAAACCCGGGCTCCATTTGGGGTTGTCCAGCTTAGTGGTCCTTCTCATTTGGCTTAATAGTCCTTTTTCGGTCTTCCGACGACCTCCCAGGAGTTACTCCCTAAGGGATTGAAGCCGCACCCTCCCCAGACCCCAGACGTCACGTTTTTTGCATAACGTCGGCCCCGAGGGGTCTCGACCACGGGGTTTTCATTCTGAGTAGTTGTTTGAGAGTCACGGGGCCTGGTAAGGGCCGCCAGTGGCCGATAACTACACAAAATCTCCGTTTCGGTTTTTCGAGACGCCTGTTGTCTGGGTCCGATGTTGGCCCCGCCTCCCCAGCAGGAGAGCAGCGGCCGCTTGGAGGACGAGAACCTGCGGCTGCAGCGCGAGAGGGAGGAGGTCGACCTCGACTACGAGGCCGCGGACGCCGAGGCCCGAGGAAGAAAACTATGTAAGGCGGGAGAGCGCTGCTTTTTATGTTGCTTCTGCTGCTTCTTCGCAGCAGCTCCGTCCGTAGACGCTCGCCTGAAAGAACTTACGCGGAGTGCACGCTGCGCGGGCAAGCACGCGGCAGCTCACCAAATGCCCCGATCCCCCACCACGGATGTGTCTTTGTGGCGGCGCCGCCATGAACAGCAGATTCCCGAGCATGGAAAAGCACACGTTCGCCTTGATTCCCTCTCGCCCCGTTCCCCCGAATTCGGCGCCGGCCAAACAAAAACGCTGCTTCTCATGAAGATACGGCGCCGTCCATTCTGTTCGCGTCAAACGGGCTCTGTATTGGAGCGGCGGTCACGGTCAGCACGGGGTCGCATAGGCCCGCTGCGCCACTGTGCCACGACGGGGTCACACCAGCCCCGTTGGGCTCCCGAGAGGTCCCCCCGAGGGCCTTTGAGAGGGGTCACGCAACATGCCAGCCAACACGGGTGCGTGATTGTCGCACGTAGGCAACGCTACAAGTGGACGCGGCCATATTGGAAAATAACAGAAGTTGCGGAAAAGAGAAACATTGGGGACATCTCTTTCTATAGATATATACACATGTGAAAATCTGGGACATCATGGGATGGTGATCGATTTATTTGTCTCCCCCTGGGCCCTCTAAAGATGGCATGAGCACGAAGGTTCCTTCAGATCGGGGCGACGCAAACGGAAACGCGAGGGCCGTCTCTTGTCGTTTTTGGCCTCCGGAGGCCGTCTCCTGGCCCTGGGACCGTCAACGAAAGCGACGCAGCATGAAAACTTGACCCCCCCCCGGAGAGGTCTAGATCCCCAGGTTGGGCGACGCGATCTATACATCTCCACTGCCCCCCAGGCCGGGCCCTTCCTGGGCCCAGCAGCTGTGTACATAGGGGAACAAAAAGTGTCTGAAACATAAAAAATCGGAGGTCCGCGCGGATTTCTCGGATCGACGTTGGACCCTCCTCCCCGGCGCGTGGAGCGCGCCAGGGGCGGCGCCGGAGGCGCCGCCGGGGGGCCCCAGCGCCGATCCGAGAAATCCGCGCGGACCTCCGAGTTGTTATGTTTATGTTACTTTTTGTTCCCCTAGTACACGCCCTCCTGGCCAAGCAAGGAGGGCGTGGCGTATACGTTGCTGCTGGGTTCGGGATGGGCCCGGCCAGGGGGGGGCAGTGGACGCGTATAGATTGTGTCGCCCTATCGGCGGGGGGCCCACGTCGCGCAGAAGCTGCGCCGTCGGAGCAGAGTCGGGGCTCGGAGGGCCTCTCCCGTGCTGCCGCCTGCTTTTCCGCCTTCCCGTCTGCCCATCTGCGCGAATGAAATGGGTACGGAAAGAATCGGTACAATGCCCAGCAGCAGTTCCTGTTCATTTGAACAAGACTCGCTGTCCGCGCCGCCGCGGCCTGTGTCCATTTGAGACAGAAGGCCGCCTGCCCAACAGCGGTCGCTGCGGGTTTGGGACAACATTTGTTGTTGGGCATTGTACCCATTTTTTCCGTACCCATCTCGGGCGTCCAAAGCCCAGGCCTCCGATGACAAAAGATGAGCGCCGATGAATCGCCAGAACAACCAAACAGAGTATCAACAAGAAGGTCAGGAGAGTGTTGAGCAGAAAGATACATACATTGATGATTCGATTGTCGATGTGACCTGCGCAGAAAGTAGCCCACTCAGATGGCTCAGAAAAGTGCCAAGAATAGTGCCCAGAACAATTTCCCCCAAACGGCCGGACAATGTACGAACCAATGTTTGGAAACATGTGCGAGGCTTGTCCAGAAAAAAAACAGGCACTTGCCCAGAACAATGCTCGGATAACTGTCTGGAAAAATGTTGGGCGCTTGCCAGAAACAAAAAACATAAACAAAACATGCCCCTCATTGAAACATTTTTCTGGACGGCTTTCCGGGCATTTTTCTGGGCAATGTCGGAGCCTTGGGGAAGCAATTTTTCCCAACCATCTTGTGGTGTTGGGTCCTCGTTTTGAAGAGACGGTCCCCGCGTTCCTTTCCTCTTCTCCTCTTCCTCCCCTTCCTCCTCTCCCTCATCCTTCCCTGCGTTTCACCCACCCAACACAACGTTCCGTGGCTCCATAGGGAGCTCCACCGAAGCCCCCAGTGGGACCGCCCGCATACGTCCCCCACATCCATTGTGGCATTTTAACCCACCCAGTACAGCGCTTCGTGGCCCCATAGGGAGCTCCACCGAAGCCCCCAGTGGGACCGCCCGCATGCGTCCCCCACACCCAATTTGGCATTTTCACTCCCCGAGTACAGCGCTTCGTGGCCCCATAGGGAGCTCCACCGAAGCCCCCAGTGGGACCGCCCGCATGCGTCCTCCACACCCAATTGGGCATTTTCACCCAGACAGTACAGCGTCGCGTGGCCCCATTGGGAGCTCCACCGAAGCCCCCAGTGGGACCGCCCGCATGCGTCCCCCGCACCCAATTTGGCATTTTCTCCCACCCAATACAGCGCTTCGTGACCCCATAGGGACCACCACCGAAGCCCCCAGTGGGATCGCCCACATGCGTCCCCCACATCCAATTTGACATTTTCACCCACCCATTACAGCGCTTCGTGACCCAATAGGGACCCCCACCGAAGCCCCCATGGGACCGCCCGCGTGCGCCCCCCAAAACCACTTTCGCATTTTCAGACACCCAGTACAGCGCTTCGTGGCCCCATAGGCAGCTCCACCGAAGCCCCCAGTGGGACCGCCCGCATGCGCCCCCCACACCCAATGTGGTATTTTCACCCACCCAGTACAGCGTTTCGTGGCCCCATTGGGAGCCCCACCGAAGCCCCCAGTGGGACCGCCCGCATGCGTCCCCCACACCCAATTTGACATTTTCACTCACACAGTACAGCGCTTCGCGGCCCCATGGTGAGCTCCACCGAAGCCCCCAATGGGACCGCCCGCGTGCGTCCCACACGCTTAATGTGGTATTTTCACCCACCCGGTGCAGCGTTTCGTGGCCCCATAGGGACCTCCACCGACGGCCCCAGTGCTACCGCCCGCATGCGTTCCCCCCCCGCCCAGCGCAGCGCTTCGTGGCCCCATAGGGAGCTTCACCGAAGAAGATATTCACAATTGCGGTACCCACAGGTTCATATAATTGGGTCCTTCGCCAGGATAATTTTTTGACGCTGGCAAGGTTGCTTGCATGGAGGGGGTAGCTGGGGGAGCCCTAGCTCTCCACTTCGCACCTTCCGACCAGCAGGTGGTTGATTTAGAGATTTCCTCGAGGGACGCAAAACTGAACAAAACGAACCTTTCGGAGTTCCGCACGGATTTCTTGGATATGCGCTGGACCCCCAAGCGGCTGGTCGGAAGGTGCGGAAAAAGGTGCGTGATGGAAGGGGATGGGGGCGCGCGAGCCACGAAGGGAACCCTGGACTTCACGCAGGTCGGGGCTCGCTTGCACGCCGTTCCGGCCCGGCGCTGTCGAACCCATATCGCCCAGTCATTGTCGATATGGGGTCCAAAAGCTCACCCCGTCAGGAATATGCGGGCTTTATTGTGGGTTATCGCCGTGTATCGACGATGTATCGTTGATTCCAGGTTGATGCTTCCGCCCATGAGCCAGTCCCCTCCCAAATGTTTCCCCTCATCGTGTGCAAGCTTCGGCTCTGGTGGTCTCCAGGGGATCAAACGCTCGGACTTTGACGCCCTCCCGTCGTGAACAAATCACGACGGAGTGTCGTTGCCCCGCTTCAGCTGCCAGGGGCCCCACGTCAGAAAACGGCAGGCTAAAAAGTTGGCCCCCGGGGAAGAGATACCCCCAAACCACGACGGAGGATGTCTGGGGATGTCCGCGGCGGATCTCTGGGGCCAGCGCTGACGCCCCGCGTCGGGGCGTGCGAAAGTGTTGGGTGTTGCCAGAGTGCCTTTGCCCCAAGGTGCCCCCAGGATTTCCGAGGAGGCCCCCACGGCCTCCAGAGGCACCCCCCTCGCGAGGCCCCTCGAGGGCCCCAGGGGCCACATGCGGAGCGAAACGCTGGGGGCACCCTTGGGCCAGGGTTCAGTCGGGCCTGTCCCTCTCTACAGGAGGAGTATTCGAACATAGTGAAACACAAATCGTACTGGGATCATTGCTTGCATATGTTTGAGCTATTGTTTGCGCATTTTGGGGCGATTCTCGATTCTTCGTCAAACATCCCCCTGCAGGAGGACATGCCCGACCTACCCGACCCAAGGCCAGGGGTGCCACGAAATCTGCTGCACGCAGCTGGTGTCGGCCCCGCCGCCACGCCCGAGGAGGAGGGGGAGGAGGAGGAAGAGGAGGAGGAGGAGGGGGAGGAAGAGGAGGCGGAGGAGGAGGAGGAGGAGGAGGAGGAGGAGGCCCCTCAGTGCGCCGGCGCTCCTGGCGCCGAGAGGCGCGGGGACAGGGCAGCTCCGCGAGTCGGTCCGCCAACCCGTCGCCAGAGGCGCTTCCAGGGGGGGGTGCAGCGCCGATCCGAGTGATCCGCCCCGACCTTCGAAGACGTCATTGGGGGGCCACATGCGAACCCTACCCCTACCCCCATGATTTCTGAGGGGGAGGGTGGGGTTCACTTCGTTCGGGAGCTCCCGAGCGAAATGAACCCCACCCTCGCCCTCAGAAATCGTGGGGGGTAGGGTTAGGGTTCGCATGTGGCCCCCCAGTCATGCTGGTCGTGTTGCTCCTCCAAGAAGGCCAGCCAGGTCGCGGCCGAGAACGCCCAGCTGAAGAGGCAGATCGAGGAGATGGAGGTCCAGATCCGCGCGCAGCAGCAGTACGAGGAGGACTTCGACGCGCGGATGACGGAGATGCTGGACGAGCGGGACAAGCTGCTGTCCGATGCCACGGCCGAGAGGGACAAGCTGAGGGTGAAGATCGCCAATCTGCAGGACGAGATCGGCGCCCAGGACATCGGGGCGGTCACCAAGGACGCACAGGCGCTGCGCCAGATCCTGAAAGACAAGGAGCTCGAGCTCGAGGACCTGGCGGATCGCAACGACGAGCTGGAAGATGAGCTGGCCCGCGTGACGCAGGAGCTGGAGGCCGCACGTGGGCAGCGCGTTGGTGCGTCTGCCCCGGATGTGACGGCGGAGGGGCACGTGGACGCGACGAAGTACGAGGACCGGATGGCCGCCTACAAGACAGAGCTGGTCAACAAGGACGAGCAGATTCTCAACGCGGAGAAGATGCTCCAAGAGTTGGCAAAGGCGCAGGGCGCCGAGGGCATCGTCGCACAGAATCGGGAACTCGTTCGCCAGGTGCAGGACATGAAGCGTCAGACGGGCGAGGCGAAGCGGGACTTGTCTCAGTATCTGTCCGAGGCAGCCAGCATAGTATACGAGAACGAGTTGCTGCGCGGGATCGCGAATGTACGCCCAGAGCAGCTCAATTTGCAAGAGTTCAAGCTCAAGCAGCAGGTGACCTCGGCCAAGGCCCAGGCCATGCAGAAGCAGCTTGAGAAGGAAGTGGCGGACCTGGAGGAAGAGCGTATCAGGCTGAAGCGGAGGGTACGGCAGATGTCAGAGTTGGCCGCCGAGAGGGTGTCGCTATTGCACAACTTGCAGCCTGAGCAGATGTTGCAGCTCGAGGAGATTGCCGCTTCGATGCGCCGGGGTAAGCTGGAGCTCCCCGTCGTTGACGAGAGTCGCGAGTTGAAAAAGGAGAAGGAAGAGCTGGAGAAGAAGTTGAGGAGTAAGGAGTCAGAGGTGTCTGCTCATGTGGACCGCAAGGTCGACGAGGTGATCCAGAACACGATGCGCGTAAAGGAGGTGGAGGTCAAGATCAAGCTGCTCGAGGAGGAGAACAGCGCGCTGAAGCACGAGAAAGCCACGCTGCTTGCGAGGGCTACGGCCGCCCCAGAAATCCTGGGCGCGGCCCCTGGCTCCATCTCCAGCAACCTGCTGCTGGAGCAGCAGCTGCAGATGCAGAGGCAGTTCCGAGAAGCGCTGGATGCTGCGAAGACGACCGGCCAGCCGCCGCCCACGATGCCCGCCGCGGCGGTGCAGCCGGCGGTGCAGCCAGCGGTGCATCCAGCCTCGATGGCGGCCGGGGGCGGCCTCGGGCCGATGGCGCTGCCGCACATCCCAGGCATGCCGGCCACGGCCTTCTCGCAGCTGCTGGGTATGGCCATGCAGCTGCCGCGGGAGCTGCCGGCTGGCTCGCCGGAGTCCGTCTGCTCGCTCTACTGCCAGGTGGTGGAGTGCCTGGAGGAGCTGAAGAGGGAGCGCGACCAGAACAAGGAGCTCACGGGTGAGGTCGCCAGTTTCAACCAGAAGTATGACAAGCTCCTCTCCGAGCAGGAGGTCCTGTACAAGGACTATTTCCGGCAGCTGGCGGAGTGGTCGGAGGAGAGGAAGGCCTTGCAGGAAAAGATTCAGGTTGGCCAAGACGCGATCAGCGATCTGACCAAGAAGCTGAAGAAAGAGAAAGACGACGAGGCCACCCTGAAGAGGCTGGAGGGACTGCGCGGCCTCCCGGCAGAGGAGGAGCTCCGCAAGAACCTGATGGCGGCCATGCAGCGCATCGCCGCGTTGGAGCAGGGCGAGAGCGTGCTCTCCCGGAAGTACGAGACGGCCGCGGAGGACCACCGCAATGTGAAGGAGGCCTTCGACAAGTTGGAGATCGAGTACGTCGAGCGGGAAAGGTTTCTCAAGACTCGGCTCACAAACGCGGTCCTTTGGAAGCGCCGTACGCTGGCGGCGATGCGGAAGGCGAGGAGCAAGCTTCAGACTATGGTCCCCCAGACGGACTACGACCGCGTCCAGAAGGAGCTGCAGATCGGAAAGCAGCGCGAGCTCGACCTAAGTCAGCGTAACACCAAGCTCCTCAGCCTGGGCGCGCAGCAGGAGGACCGGCTGCGGGAGATGGAGGACCTCCGCGACCGCTGCGCAAGCTTGAGCACGCTGGTGCGCGAGACGGAGGATCAGTTCCACGCCCTACGGCTGAGACTCCAGGAGCTGGATGCAGGGTTCAAGACGGAGTGTGTGGTGCTCTCGCGCCTGACCGTCGACGTCCAGAAGGTCCTGGGCTTCGTGGGGCAGTGGGACGCCTTCTCGAGGGCCGCTGCGGCCATGGACCCTCCAACGGGCGCAGACGGCGGGAAGGCCTCCGCGGCGGCACCCCCGGCAAGACTGAACGTGGAGGCATCGCTGGACGCGAAGCTCCGGGAGCTGGACCGCGACAACGACGGCTCGATCACCATGGGGGAGTTGAGGCGACTGCTCGAGACGTTTTCCATCAAGATCGCAGACAGCGAAGTGCGGATCCTGGCCCAAGCTCTGCGGCGTCAAGGTTCGAGGCTCCCGGCTCCGCCGTCGGCCACTGCGGCAGCGGGGACGCCCGAGGACGTTGCGAGGGCGGACGCAGAGCTGCTCGCGAGCACCAGCGTTTCTGTGTTGGCCATCGTGGGCCGCCTCCGACTCTTCGGGCTCAGGCAGCTGGAGCCAGAGGAGCTCTTCTGGGCCGCTGCGCAGTCCCTCTTCGCTGCAAAGTTTCCCAACTTCTCCTGCAAGGAGGTGGTGCCCCACGTTCTCAAGACGTTCCTCCAGCCGTTCGCCCTCCATGGTGAGATAAAGGTGGAAAACGTGGCAAGCGTGCTGGGCCAATTCGGCTTGCCTGTGGCTCACCTGCCTCTGCCATGCTTGAAGCGACTTCTCGGTTGGCTGGGGACCCTGATGAGGCCGCCCGGCCAGGAGTCGGCACCGCGGGACGAGCTCGCTCAGGGGCAGCAGTCGGAGCCGCACGAGCGGGCCAGGCTGATGTCACAGACGCTGGTCTGGAGCGATCTCGTGGAGCACTTCGAGCGCGGCGCGAGGAGGGCACTGCAGGCGATGGTTCCCGCGACGGTGGCAGACTCCGCCGGGCAGCCCAGCGCGGCCCCGGCCCCAGCAGGAGGGGCGGCAGCGAGCCTGTTCCCCATGGATTTGGTCCCGAGCCACGTGGTGGAGGCCCGGGAGGCGGCGGCCAACCGGCGGTGCGCGGTGCTGGAGCAGGAGGTGCGCGCGAGGGTCAGGACCGTCGGGGAGCTCCAGCGGCAGATCGGGGAGCTCGAGACGATGACGCAGAGGCTCCGAAGGAGAGAAGCTGTCGGAGCTCCGCGAGGGTTCCTTGGATCGGCGCTGGGCACCCCTGGCAGCGCCGCGCCTGGCGCGATCCGCGCGGAGCTCCGAAGATTGCTGTCTGCGCAGTTGTTCCCAGACGTGCGACGCGCTGATGTTTTCAGTGCGCGCCCCCCGGAGCTTCCGACACCATCCCCAGGGATCGGGTTTCTCATCGCGAGTTGTTTTTGACGGCCCCGGGGCCCAGAACGGGCGTCTGAGAGGCAGAACCACGAGAAGCAAGTTCGCCCTGCTCTGGTCCAGGGCAGTGCCTGTCTGGGCCTTCCTTCCCTGAGGCTGGAGGAGGACCTGCACAAGGAGCGCAGCAGCTCGATGGAGCTGCAGGCGCACATGGCGGGCCTGGTGCCGCGCGCGGAGGTGGAGCCGAAGCTGCAGCAGCTCGAGAAGATGCGCCTGGAGGTGCAGCAGCTCAGCACCGGGATCCAGCAGGAGAGGGAGCTGACCCAGGTTGGGGCCCTCCCCCCTCCTCCCCGTCCTCCTCCTGCGCCTCCTCCTCCTGCTCTTTCTCCTCCCGGTGATCCTCCTTCTCCTCCTCCCGCTCCTCCTCTATGCCGCTCCTCCCGCTCCTCCCGCTCTTCCTCTTGCATTCCTGACGGTCCGCGCATCCCATCCCAAACCTGTCCACGGGAGGTGGAGGAGGAAGAAGGAAACGAGGGTGAGGCAGACGAGGAAGGAAGAGGGAGCTGACCCGGGCTCGGGGGCCCCCCAGCGGTGTGGCGACCACACCGCTGGGTGAGTCCGCGGGGATCTCGGGGACACCGCACGGTCTTGAGGCTCGGGTCGTTCTCCCAGGACGTCCCGAAGCCGAGCGGTGACGGGCCGTGCGGTGAGGTGTCTTGGGGTGTCGAAGTCACCGTGCGAGACCTGTCACCACCACGGTTCTGGGCGACCCAAAAGGGGGTCCAGCTGTAAGGGGGTGGTGCAATAGATTTGGGGCAATTGTATTGCAAACGTACTGCGCGGGAGAATTGTTTTGCATTGTATTGCAAATAATGTATTGCACGCGAAAATCCAGCAATACACTTGCGCCCCAGAATGTATTGCACGCCAGAAATGTATTGCAACCCCACAAATCTATTGCACCAAAGCTATTGCACCACCCCCTTGTCGTTGGACCCACTTTTGGCTCAACCCGAACGGTCTTGTGCCTCTCGGCAGGTCTGCGCTCGGCAGGCCGAGAGCTACGAGCAGCTCATCAAGAGGAGGCAGCAGGAGGTGCGCAGCCTCCAGGAGACGGTGAGGATGCTGCAGACCAAGGACGAGATGGCCAACAGCGTCGGCAAGCTGCAGTACAGGCTCCTCCTGGTGCAGTGGGAGAAGGGCAACGCTCAGCGTCAGCTGCAGAATGCCGCCGCGGAGCTGAGGCTGGCGCGGAAGGAGTTCTTGGACATGGAGGACAGCACGGCCGCGCTGGAGAAGGAGTGGGCCGACGAGGCGGACAGCCTGCACCACCGGCTTGCGGTCGCGAACGACGCCGCGGAAAAGTATAAGGAACAGGCAACTGCCTCGCTGCCCTTCAGCAAGGCCCGCGAGCTCCTCGCCAGGGTCGAGGAGGTCGCGACCACGAAGTCGGCCATCGAGGAGAAGTACCAGGAGGTCCGGAGGCGCCTGAACCTGAACCAGGCCGAGGCAGACCAGCTGCGGCTGCAGGCCCAGCAGGCCAAGGAGCTCTTCAAGGACCTCAGCAGCATCGGGGGAGACAGCGAGGAGCTGCGCAAGCGTCTGATGGAGATGGCGCAAAAGCTCTCAGACGCCAAGCTGCTGGAGCTGAAGCACAAGCGCGAGCTCGACGTGTCCCGCGAAGAGTTTGAGTCCCTGCAGAGAGCGCGCCGGAACGACGAGACGGAGATCCGGAACTTGCAGAAGGAGGTGGCGGATGCCGAGGCTCGAGGAAGGAAAAACGCCATAGGCATAATTTCTGGAAGGTCCGCTCGGGATCTGTTGTATTTATTGGATCCGCCCCCAGCGCGCTCCTCGCGACGGGGAGGGGATTCAGCTCCTGCTGCTGCTGCTGTTCGCCCTCCTCCTCCTGCTTCCTCGTCCTCCTGTTCCTCCTGCTCCCCCTCCTGCTCGTCCGCCACCTCCTCCAATGTACGCAGCTCCCCTTTTTCCGATGGCGCAGAACACGGATGGGTCCTTTTCGGAGTTCCGGGTTCGTTATGACAAGTGGCGGCGCAAAGAGAAAAACGTCAGCGCAATGGAGGAGAAAAACGTCAGCGCAAGGATGAGGGATGGGTAGGAGGTGTAGGATGACAGATTTTGCGCGAGCGCAGCAAGCTTGCCCACCCCCTCTCTCCCGCTCCCCCCTTCCCCCCCTCCTCCATCCAGGGCCTTCTTGTGAAGGGGCTGGGGGACGATTTTCTGAGCGAGTCCGGAGCGCGACCGACAGTTTGGGATTCTCCCTGCGGGACCGCCCGATTTGCCGGAGCTGGAAACTGTACAGGAAGCGTGCGGAGTTCTTGGTATCGCTTCATCGTTCGCCAGGGTTAAGGATGACGTGAGGTCACAAGAGTCAAGGTCTTGTTGTTCATCCTCTGGCGCGTAACGGTTGTTACCCAGCCCTCCTCCTCCCCCGCATTGGGTAACGGCAGCGATCGCACGTGGGGGGAAAGCATGGACCACTCCCACGCACGGCGGCGCCCGCACGCATGCTATGGCTATCACAGCGCACCTTGCCCCATGCCCCACCCCGCCCAAGCGTTACAGGGACCGTAACCCAGCCTCCCCCACCCAGGTAACGGCCGTCACAACAATTATTTGGCGAAGGACCCAACCAGATGCAGTTGTGAATGCCGCTGTTGTGAGAACCGTCTTCGGTGGAGCTCCCTGTCGGGCCATGCTGCGCGTGAAGGGTGCGCCGAAAAGTAGTGTGGGGTCGCCATGCGGGCGCTGCCATTGGGGCCTTAGGTAGAGCTCGCGATTTGGCCGCGAAACGCGGAAGGGCGCGCCGAGACGCGCAAGGGGCATGCGAATACCGCGAGGGAGATCAGACGAAGGAGGGGGGCCTCCGAATATAGCAAGGTATAGCTGCTGCTCTCATGCGCAGCGCGCCGCGGGAAGGGATGACGCCCGGGGCAGTGCGGGTATGGCGGCGGGTGGAGCCAGTGACGGTCGGCCCGAAGTCTCGATCACCTTCTTGGTGGGACTTGGCGTTGAAGAACGCACCCAGCAGTCACGAAGCAACTGGCAGGGTAGCAGGGGCCTCCTCCTCCTCCTCCTCCTCCTCCTCCTCCTCCTCTTCCTCGCCCTCCTCCCCCTCCTCCTCCCCCTCCTCCTCCTCGCCCTCCTCCTCCCCCTCCCCCTCCCTCTCCTCCTCCTCCACAATTACACAATATGAAAATACTCTCCCACTTCCCCTGATGGCGTCCCGAAGATATCCGACCCCCCCCGCGTACTGTTTTTTAACACACAGGATTCCCGGGAAACGGGTTTTCGCCTGCGTTTTTTTTCAAAATGCTGCTCTCGCTGAGGCGCCGGCCTCATTTCTGCTCCCGAATCGTTCCGAATCGTGCTCCCGCTGCAGCGTGGGCCTCATTTTCGGATCGGTGTTTGGCCTCCGTCGTTCAGGATGGCGTTCTCGCCCCAGCGCGGGCCTCTTTCTCGCGCGCCCATCCGCCCGCCACCACCGCGCCGCACCGCACCACCACCACCACCACCACCACCACCACACCACCACCACCACCACCACCACCACCACCACCACCACCACCACCACCACCACCACCACCACCACCACCACCACCACCACACAACCACGCACACACGCACGCACGCACGCACGCGCACCACCACCCACTACGCACGCGCGCGCGGAGCCACAGGTCCGCTACGACACGCGTCCGCGGATAGAGAAAATCAGCGCCATGGTAAGGGATGGGAGGGAGGGGACGTCAGATATGACGCGAGCGCACCTAGCTTGTCCCCCTCCCCCTCCCCCTCCTCCTCATCCTCCGCCACAGGGGACGCGGAGGCCAGCCGTAGCGGGCTGCCTGCGGATGTGGCCCGCTGCGGCGGACGGGCGCCGGGAGCTGCGGGCACGAGGCGTGGAGGATGACGCGGAGAGACGCCCAGATGATGTGCTCTCTCGGGCGGCAGGAGCGTCGGCACCGTCGCACATGTCCAGCGCGCGATTTGGTGGCGAGGCGATGCGAAGAGGAAACGCTCGAGGGCGGCGCCACGCGCGAGCGAGCGAGGAGAGCCGCCGACGCATGTCAGAGATCCTTCATGGAGTTCCGGCATCGCGCGGCAGTCGCCCTCAGCTGCTGGTCATGAAGCGTCAGTGCTCGGCCGAGCAGGTCCGACGACGCGCGGAGGTCACCCAGGCGGCCCCTCAGGTCAGGCCTAATGGATGGACTCGGGGAAGCCCTGCTCCTTGGCGAGGGACGTTGCCTCCTTCTGCACCGGTTCGTGCGCGTCACGAACCTTTCCAGCTGTGAGCGCAGGCCCTTCGGCGGGCCCGCCAGGAAGAACTCGACGCGCGGCGCCCGAACGAGCAGTTCAGACCCCGCCGCTGAGGCCTTCAGTGCAGCTCCCTATGGGGCCGCACAACGTGCGAGGGTGTGCCGAACTGGTTGCGGCGGCGCCGTGCGGACCATGCCGCTGGGGCCTTCGGTGGAGCTCACAACGGGGCCATGAAGCGTGTGAGGTGTGTGCCGAGATGGTTGCGGTGGCGCCACGCGGACCCTGCAACTATAGAGCCTTCGGGCCACGAAGCGCGTGAGAGGTGTGCCGGAATGGTTGCAGTGGCGCCACGTGCACCCTGCCATTGGGGCCTTCGGTGGAGCTCAGCGTCAGTGGGGCCTTCTATGGAGTTCCCTATGGGGCGACGAAGCGTGTGAGAGGCTTGCCGAAGTTGGCGCGGTGGCGCCATGCGAACCTTGCCACTCGGCCTCCGGTGGAGCCCCCCCCCCCATAGACCACGAAACGTGCGAGGTGTGTGCCGAAATGGTTGCGGTGGCGCCATGCGGACCTTGCAGCTGGGGCCTTCGGTGGAGCTCCCTATGGGGCCACGAAGCGTGTGAGGGGTGTGCCGAAATGAACATGGGGGGGGCTGAGGCAGGAACGGGGCGAAGGGGGAGGGAGCGGGATGATGCTGATGATGATGCTGATGATGGTGATGGTGATGATGATGATGCTGGTGATGCTGCTGCTGCTGATGATGATGATGATGATGGTGATTGTGATGGTAAGTGTGATGCTGTTAATGGTGATGATGCTCATGATGATGACGACTATGATGATGACCATGATGATGGTGATGATGAGGATGATGAAAATGATGGTGATGGTGATGATGACGATTATGTTGATGATGGTGACGATGGTGATGGTGATGATGATGCTTCTGATGATGATGGTCATGATGGTGATGTCAGGGACAGGCAGACAAACAGAAGTCATATACCTAAGCTGTGCGGCAAGACACAACGAACGGAATGACACATCAGAGAGCGAGAATCGCATCTCGGCACTTGCGAGCTCAGCACTGGGCATGGTCGAAACGTTGCCAGGTGGTTTCGAAATCTTTTGAACAGGCAGGGCACGTCGTAGCCCCTGCTGAGACCACAGGTTTCCGATGGCCGTGAACCCTCATCTTGTGCGCAGCCACGGCTTTGCTGCTAGTATAAAGTTGGGCACACTCCGGGCACGGAAGTGTAAGAGGCTTTGTGGAGTCGTCGGCAACAGACGCTGATCTTAGCGTAACGCCCCGGGCGAAACGGTTCCACTTCCACCAGTCGGCGGCTGAGAATTCTGTCTTTTCGGCTGCTCCCCTTGCTGAGTCCGAGAGCGTCTTGGATCGATCAAGCTAAACTTGTTTATCACATCCTCGGGACCTGGGAGGCCCTATCCGCCAGCCAGACCTCGGCGAGGCTATGGCGGCCGAGGCTGAGCAGGTGACAGTGGCTGGCATTGCGGCACTCCTCCAGCAACAGCTCGCTCTGGTTACCAACGTTGTGTCGGACCTCAGGAAGAAGCTCGGGGCCCTCGAGGGCAAGGTCGGGAGCCTAACCGCGACCCTCCACAGCCGATTGGGGGACGTGGAGGCGAGCACCATCTCCACAGACATGCGCGTCGAGGAGCTGAGGAGCTGGAGAACACGTTCGAGACGATGGCGCAGAAGATTCAGAGAGGAGACGCGTTCGAGATGAACGTCCAGGAGTACATCAAGGAGGCTCTCTCCTTGAAGCCCACCCTGAAGAACGCAGCCTCCTCACCCCGCGCGCTCATGACCAAGCGGTCCGCGAGCGTGGACGTTGGCAATTTGGGCGGCTTGGGGGGCCGTGCCGCGTCGATCCAGTGGCTGACGGAGCGCCTCCAGGTTTTGCCATCGCCAGCCCCGTCCAAGGTCTATTCGAAGGGCGTGTTCAAGGGTGCTATGTTTGCCGAGTTTGGCTCTTCGGACGCGCGCGACCGCACCGTCGAGGCCCTCCGCGCCAGCGCTCCCGCCAACGGCGACAAGAAGGCGCGGGCTAGCGAGGGTCGCTCTCCAGCGGACCGGGCGGCCCGCAACTTCTGCCTCGGCTTCGAGCGGGCCCAGGCGCCGGAGTTCGACGCGCCGCGCGTCGTGAACGCGTCGGACGGGGGCCCCTACGAGGTGAGCGTTGGTGGCGAGCACGCGCTGACGGCGACCGCGAAGGGCCGCGACGTTGAGTATCAGTGGCACCACGGCGAGTGGGTGACGTGGGCAGAATTACGCGCCCATCCACGTATCGAGGACCTTGCGAACACATCGGCGGATCTGCTCGCCCGCGCCGCCCTGGGCATGAAGGGCTGCGCCGAAGGGGCGGGCAAGGGCAGCAAGCCCCGCTAGGATGCGCAGCACATGGGCAGAGTTTCACCGGCAGCAGTCGGCAATGCTGCAGGCATGCGCCACCATCCTTTCC